TGACCATGTAGCTCCTTTTTTGGGAGATTATTTGTACTTAATAAAGGTTAAGAGTATGTTCAGAATCCTGCCTACACTAATAGTTTACTACTAACATAATAGATTATTTCTCTAAAAAGTTTTAATGGTGAGAATCTGATGGAAGATGCAAACTAGGGATTACTAATATAGGGTTAAACGTACTTACCCATTATCTCAGATTCATAATAATCCTGTGTGCCTTCCTGGAAGACAAGACAGGGTGTCTTTATGATTTTAGAGCATGAATTTGTGAAAATGGTAGGTCCATTTTTATGGTAAGTTTATGTCCATCAAAGAGGAATGCAAAATAGGCACTGTAGGGGTTATTAGCTGTGTTATATAACAAGGTCAACTGAAGCTTCCTTAGAAATTCTAAGTTCAGAGAAAAGTTGAACTATAAAAAAATTTAGTACTGTGGGTTTTTTTTTTTTTTTGGTTTTACATTTATAACATTCTAGTTTGAGATTCTGCCATTTGCATTATGAGATTTTGAAAAAGCTTACATTTCAACCAAATGAACACCCTGCCAAAAATATTTCAAAGAACTCATACTACATTTGTTCTTTTTTTAGTATCTAATAAGTGTTTAAGGTGAAGAAATAAACTTAGATGCATTCATTAGTATACCACCTAAAGATTTTTCTCTGACCAGGGATTACAAATAAAGTCTGTATTAGTAGACAGGTAGTCCACGAGTTCTCTAAGAGAATGCCTTACTTCTGTGTTTTCATTCTGATGATATTCCACAGATGAATAAGTGAATATTCAGGGTCAGAGATAAGCACTTTACAGATGTTTACAACACAGTTGGGACATAAAACGTACTAAGCAGAGGTCAAGCGATATCATAAAGTCATATATTTGAAAGTTTTTTCAGTTTTTTTTCCTTTTGAAGTTTGCTATAGGGTGTGTGCGCTCACTGGGGAGGGAGGAAGAGAGGGAGAAGGAGAAGAGAGAAGGAAAAAGAGAGAGAGAGATGATGCCCTTGGGAGATGGCCATGCTATAATCCCTTCTTCATTCTCATCTCCAGATTTTGTGCATACACGCGTACACGTACATGCCTGGTGTGTTTTTCAAGCCACCAGGTCTGGAACTCAAACCACGCCATTAGCCATGTAAGATCCAGCCACCTTAACCATCATGCCCATACCTGACCCTTTAGTAGCTCTAATAGAAGAGAATTTGTCAACCTCCGCACTACTGCTTGCCATTTGGGGACAGGTAATTCTTTGTCCCTTTAATTTTGACAACCAAAATTGTCTTTACACATTGCCAAGTGCCCCTTGGGGGAGACAAATGCAATGCAATACAGAAAAGTGATGTGAGAACTGAGTCAATATAAGGCATGCAAGAGAAGTAATCTATCACATTCAAATGAACCAACAATGTAGCAATATCTGCTATACTCGCATTGAAAGAAACATCACTAAAACATTACTATATACCACATTAATGTTGTCACTGTGAGTTTAGCTAGTTTTGTACTTTCATTCAGATTTAATGTATAAGTATGCTTTGCTTTGACGGACTTTTTTTTTTCTTAAAAAAGCCTATACATTATTCAAGATTGAGTTACACTGTTCCTGTTTTGAACTCTTTTATAGTTGAAACTTTACTCAAAAGATTTTTTATCAAGTGAAAATTTAACTTTTCTAAATGTCTTTTTTGTGCCTTAAGTATCTTCTGGGGTCTTTTAATATATATCCCAGATACTTCTTAACTGAAGAAATTCTCAAGAGCCCAAAAAAAGGTGAGTAAATACTTAGATGCTAAATGTCTTTGTTGTTAATTGCATGAAAAAGATTAACCTGAAATTTTTCATTATGAAAGCATAGAAAAACTGGAAAAGTTACTGGATAAGCATTATTCACTGCTACATTTTTCTTCTTCTTTATTTATTTATTTATTTATTTAGGAGAGATTTTTGCTATAGGGCACATACGCTCGCCAGACAGAGAGAGACATAGAGACAGAAAGCGAGAAATCACCCCCCAGGGGGGATGGTCACGCCACAATCCCTTCTCCTCCATT